ATATATATATATATATATATACATGTACAGTGTGTACATACGAGTTCACCGAGACTGAATTAAATGCGCGCTTGTACCTGTCACGATTCGTCGAACTTCTGAGTTACTGAAACGATCGGTAAGAACGTAAGGTGCGCGCGTGCGTTACGTATTTTTTTTTTTTAAATTTACAAGAGTACATACGCGAATAACATGTGCGTTACGTTACGAGCAAATACGTAGGTTATTTTTGCAACGTTGACGAGATTACGAGGCCGCTGCGGATACTTGCGAAACTTTCGCGCTCTCTCACGTTTTCGCTCACTGCTACACGTACTGGTTTATATTATTATTTATTATACGTTATTCTAATTTTTATTTATAATCCCTCCCAAGTTTCACCTAACCATGTTTAATAGTCGGGGTCTGTTATTATCTTTTTGCGAAAAGAAAGTCATGGAATTCTCGCAAATTCCGTGAACCCATTGGGAAACGTTGTTATCGTCAGGTGTGAGGTTGCAAATTCTGGGGATTCGCACGGATACCGAATATTTGCAATGACAATTTGTCGTCGACCCTGACACGTCGGTGGTTAAATAAAATACAGTCAGATTGCACGGAGAGATATTTACTCTTGATAATTCGGAACGGAGCCTTATAATTTACGTCGATCGTCTGCGCAATGATTTTGTATTATTTAAAGAAACGTAGAACGCAAAGTAATTTTTTTAAATAACTACTATATATGTATTCTAAACTGTACCGTGTTAAAGAGATAAAAACGGTGTCAGTGGCCTCACACGAATTTTGTGCTGTCACCTGTCGAATGCGCTTTGCCCAGGTTTAATACGTCCTAAATGTATCAGGGCGAGGAGGCTTATTAGCATTGGAATACCTGCATGAGTCCAGGGTCTGTGTATCTGTACACACAAACGATCCTGATGCTTATACCGTAAGTCGTAGCCCAGATTTTGAAAGGTTCCTGTCCAGTTAAACCGATCGATGCTATCGTAATAATTGGCCGGTGCACAAATAAACGGATCACGGCATGATCCGTATATGGTTCTAGAGTTTAATATATCCCTTTTGTATACTATATATGTATATATACACACATGGCAGCCATATTTACTATGCTGAAAAATCCAATCGCTCGAGTAGCAGCCACTGGCTGACCCCGAAAACCGGCCCCATAATTCAGCGTCACTATTTCGATAAACAATTTCGTAATTCCCGCCAAGAAGCAACGGCCATTTTCACACCTATGTTTGGGGCGCCATGGGATTATACTTTCATGAGAATATATTATAACCCTTGTACTATGTAGGTAATCGAACACACCCACCAGCTCGAACGAAGCCTTCCCTGTCGATATCCTAGGTACACTTTGTGTATTGCATTGTAGTACGTGGCTCTGCCGTAATGGCGGATATCACGTGGTACATATTTCATCTTGGAACGTATAATGATACGACACGTGAAGAATATTTGTTCTTGAGTAAGAGCTAATAATTTTCTTTTGCAGACTCAGACTGAAAACTTGGCTTTGGTAGGCTGAGCACGTAGGATTCTTCTTATGGGGTGTCGAACGTCGAAATATATCTGATTTATCTATGGCTTGATCGATTGATCTTATTCGACTGGGTAATCTGTGCTGGATGAAGCTGATAAAGTTACACGTACCTGTGAGGGTTCATACGTGATTTTAACTGGTAATAACTTTTCTTTTTCTTTTTTTTTAATGACTCAATATTTTTCTCTGTCGAATAACAAGTAGATGTTATCTTTGGGTTTTTTGATTAATGATATTAACCTATTCGGTGCTTGCAGTTGTATTGATTATCGTTCGATTATGAGTTTTGATATTTTTGAGCCTAATGGATGGGACTAATTGTTAACTGTATTTTTTTTATTCTCCCTAGGGATACACCTGACTTTTGCACCTCTGTCCTGCGGCAGAGCACGTGCTTCTTGGTAGACAGTTAGCCGGTAAAGACTTTCACTGTTAAGTCGTGGACCAAGCGGTATGCATGTCGCTATGTTGGAAGAGATCGTTATGTCGCTATGGCGCCGCATATCGTGCTCTGGCGCCTTCAGTGATTCTCAATGAAAATAAATAAGATTTTCATAATATACCTCTGGTTGGGGATTCATAAGTTCGCGCCATTTCTTTGGAGCTGCTTCCTGGCGTATTTACATAATCGTATACAGAGTAGTGGGAAGTGTATTCTTTGTTGGATCACAATTTATTCAAGACTGTCTTCTTTCTTAGACGGTACAGTTGAAAATGTTTAAAAGGCCAGTACGACCTTTGTAGAAGACTGCGGTACGGAGAATTGTTGAGATATTTTCTTTTTTAAGGAAATATGTAAAGATGGAGCAGGACAGTTTGTCAAGGATGCGCAGAAAATTTGCAAAAGAACTTTATTGTCTATCGAACTAAATGTTACGGTAATTACAGTTGGAAAGTTTCTTATTTGACGTTTTATTGTTTACAGGAATAACTGCGTATGGAGGGAATACAAGTGAGGTTTAGCTGTCACGATTTTAAATGCAAACACTGTTTTACACGATTTGGCGAATCCTTAAGAAAGATAATCTACGTGTACTGCCAGTGTGTGTAAGACGATGGAATGCCTTTTAAATACAGGAATATGGCGAAGAGACGAAAACAGGCGAGCTTACATTTGTTATATTGGAAATAAAAGAAAATAAACCACGTTATCGTGGGTAATCTCTCAATCGTTAAACACCACTGCTTGAACAGTGAAATTTATACCGTCGAGGAAAGCTGTCAGAATTCGCCATAGCCAACTGGTGTCAAAAACCAGTCGTCGAGGAGGACAAATAAAATATTAAAGAAGACACAAAATTGATCGTAAGTGGTTGTAATAAATTAATGATCGCAATTCAAAGGTAATCTTGATCGATCGAGACACTCCGTCCTCGACGAGTTAACGGCGAGCGCCAACCGAGGCTAAAGGGTTAAATATGAAATATCAACTCTATAAATAAGACGCTAACATTTGTATTCTATTTTTTTTTTTTTTTTTCTTTTTCACAGTTGATCCCACGGAAGCCCATTGTGACTCTTTAAAAAATTTCTCGTGTTTACTGATGACGTCGTACTAAAAATACTAATGATGGAAATGGGTTGGGTCTTCAGGGAGTCACGTTAACGTCCCACCACTCAAGGAGCCAGGATGCTTAAGGAAGGGGTGTCTTTCTTTCCGAGAAGACCATTCGCTGACTGTCAACTGTCAACGTAGTTGAAACAAATGGCTGCCACACCTCCGACACAATTGCTGCTGAGTCCTACGGTCCCTCAGGCACATCTGACAGTCAACTGGTTTATGACTGCTATGTGTATCTGTTCTTGTCACTGCAGACGTTCAATCCTGGAGGAACGTACACTCTGTACATAGGGGGGTTAGAGGGGAAGTTATGAATTCCTTCAACCCTTTGATGGCTGATTTAATTTAGGTAGCTACAACCAGAAATTACCACTGACTCATCACTGTAACGAGGCACTGGATTAACTTTCGGTTTAGGGTTGTACCGTCAACTGTCATAAGTACACCTTGTTAAATCAGTCGAAAAGCAGCGTTGTTGGAATTTTTTAACTTTTACTCATTATTATTTTAACTATCCTCATTTACTCCAATGCCTGTTAGATTCTCAAGTAAATTTTTTTAATGGCGCGATTTCAATTTTACTCACGTTCGTAAATACTGCTGCCTCATACGTTTTCTTGATAATTATTTTAATCAGTGTATATATGGACTTTGATACTTTTAAGTTGTTAACGCTATTTACCTTTTTATATTCATAGACCGTGTACGTCCCTTTGCCTATGTAATTTTGCATGAACCTACTTAAAGTAGATTTTCTTTAAATCACGCTGCACATTCGATTCTACGATTTGTGTCTTGTCTAATTTGCTAATGCGACGTACTGTGTCATGGGTATACTAATGATTTAAGGACGCGTGAATGCAATTATTTACTGACTGATATGCTGACTTAAAGAGACAAAGTCGCGAGCTCTTAGCGAGGGAATAAGAATTCGGTTGTCCGTGATGAGACGGGAAGATAATTAGTTTAAAATTTAAACTGAATGCAAATTAAGGCAAACCCAAGTGTATCTCCGACATCGAGGAACGGCAATTTAAATGTAACCACCCTTATATGGGCTACAGTCTATAAGGGTGGCTTTTGTACAACACTCGAGACTGTCTGCAAGTACGTCGAATCCAGGGGTTATGCAATATTACTTAAAAGCAGTAAAGTCTCTGGAAATCAAGGAATCGCAACAGCGCATGAATTTAAATCAAGAAAATTCTTATACAGAGGGACACAATTTTTTTTTAAATATTACATACCAAAATTCTTTACAATAAGCACACCGTGTACCGTCTTTAACTATTACACAAAATTTCCTTGTCGAAGGCTTCTGTCCCACGTACACTTATTGTAAGTTCCCGATACGAAAACCTACGCGTCTTGGCCCACGTGCGAATTGCAAAATTGCGCGGCCCCTGGCGACCGGAAGTGACGGCGCATTTTTTACAATTTTTATCAGAGGCACTGGCGCCTTTTTTGTGTGTGCCGCTTCATAAATTTTAAAGGATCGCGAAGCTGTTAAATCGCTATGGAAAAAAAAGTCCCGTGGCTGCACGGCCATACGTATCTCTATACAGATATACATTTCATACGATGCACAGTAATGAAAACTCGTTCTCGAATGATGTGGCTGTTAAATTTTATTTTACGATTTCAGACGAAAGGACATCATTGAAGGTGGAAATCCGCGAGGATTTGTTCATTAACAGCCACAAATATATTTCACCTGTTCAAAGTAAATAACGCAAACGTAAGCAGTAGTAAAAATACATTGACAGAGAGGATACCAATGTAACCGTAATACCCAAAGGTAGACTGTGTCTATCGATCATATGTTTAGTTTTGTGACTACATATGTGACATGTGAAGTATAGTCATGTAGGTGCGTGCCTAATTGGTATGTACGCTAGCCCAAAGGTAAAGAAATAAAGGAGGCCACACATCAGAGCCCTCCGGGCACGTTAATGTAACAACGTTACTCCGTCAGGGCTCCACATTACGTATACTCAGCATAATAACGATAGTAGCCAGTAGTTCCACGTATCAAAATACGTCCGGTTAATCATCTAATTAATTAAAAGAAGACCTGGTTCACGATAGGACACTGCCCACTGCATGGACTTTGCGTAATGTGTCTTCTTATTGTGGACGATCACGCAGATCCTTTGTAAAATGCATTTACTAATAGAAACGGCAAGGTTGGTTTCTATGAAACGAATGTTTCAGGTATGAATATAGTTACAGTGTACTAGGAGTGTAATAAATGGGTTTTATATATATATATATTCTTTTTAGGTAAATCTATATGCGTCTGGTTCACCTTCGTCGTACGTTGGGCCGCCTGGAGCTTATTTAATTCTTGATCAGAGTCCTTTTGTGACGAATATAGTAAAAATTGAACCTGGCTACTGTAACCGTAAAGCAAAAGCCAATTAGGGATACATGAGAATGCACCTAATGCTTTTGCAGTGGATAAGTGCTTTTTCATTCTACGACAACTACACCAGGTTTTAAGTGCAGCAGCGAATTTATAAGGGACGACTGTCGCGCGACAGCTGAGGCAATGAGAATTGGTGGGCTTAAAAAAAAGAAGAATTATGTAAAGCGAAATAATCGAGTATAACTTCGCTGTGCAGACACATGTAAACCATGAGACCATCGGGATTTAACGATGAATATTCATGAATGCGATCTCCTTCTGCTATCGGCCGCTCTTGAATACCATTAGTAGTTATACCCTGTGTGTACATACAGTGGATACCAGAAAGTAAAAAATTTAAAAAAAAAACAGTAAAACTTTATAGCAAAGCTGAAGCAAAATTGTAAAAGAGAACTAAAACAAAATTGAAAATTTCTATTCCATTTTCTTAAAGAAATTAAATTCTCTTGCATTCCTCCGTAGTAATAATATGCTGTAATAAGTATACCGTACTTATTTACAAGCAATGTATTAAACAGTAGCATAAAAGAATATAAAAGATACGTAAGAATATTACTGAACTTTTACCAAACAATTTGTTATCTGTAATTACAGTGAACAACTAGTACTTTAATCATTACAGATCAGTGCACAGTCAATCGAGCGCGTCAAGAGAAATGACTATAACGCCACTCATATTACTTTAATATTTCCATTATAAATGAGCATACGTGGTAAATTGTTACTTTCCAAAGTGCCTTACAAAATACGTTTTATATCTATAGCCATAATGAAAGCAGACAGGGACTCACCTCTCCGCAGTGAATATCATGGTCATCATCATCAATGCCACTCCTCGAAACATCAACTACGAAGAGACTGTCATCATGAATCATCAGATCTTTACACCGGACACTGCTGAAGGTGCACTCATTAAATTATTATGTGAATTAAAGATTAATGTATGTATTTATCATGCACTGATACTTATATCACTTGGATAACCCAGTAACTTTTTTTTTTCTCAATATGTAATTTCACTCTTTCAGAGTCTCTGGCTCGGATCTGCTGCTCGTAATAGTCGCAGGAATCATACTGATGCCAGGACTCAGGCTCTGCTTGTACAGGTCGACAAGCCAGACTCTCCTGTCTCCAGTTTCTACCAGGTTCCTTTCGCATGTCCATTCTCGAACAGACCACCCTATATATTACTATCTATGGTATACACTCTTAAAGTGTATAGGAATCGTTTTGTTATTGAGACTAAGAGAGGTTTTCCCTAATGGCCCACTTGAAAGATGTTTTGGTAGGTGAAGTGTCAGTTGTTTCTAAACCAGGCAAGTGTTACGTGACAGGTTGAGTCTCGTAAGAAGTAGATTTTCCAAAAAGTAAATGGAATATTTCAAAGAGTGGAATTTTTCCAGAGTAAAATTTGTCCTACGAATATTTTGTCAAATTGACAACCGTACCGGCAAATCTTATTTATTTGCTATTTAATTGTACGATATGTCCAGTACCGTTATCCGTATCAACGATGAATGAATTCAATTAGCACGTTTGCCGAGTTTACAGGCTCCGGCCGTAATTAAACCAGATAAGACACAGAGTCCCGACCCCAACGACGTTGGCGGACCGGTAGTCGATGATATTTTTACCAAGGGAATTCTAGTAGGCAGCAACTTGCAACAGGGAGTCGGACTCGTTGGAAAAACGAGTTTTATTCCTTTACAGTCGTCAGCTTCAGGGTTAAACGACTTGCCAAAAGCTTTAGGCTAATTAACAATAATAATTATGAGACTTATCAATTACACAGAGTACAACAAAGACTATTACTTTGCTTTAATTTTGATTAAAAATTTTATATGCATTATGTATCCAGTCGTGGATCTTTCTTATTGTCAGATACGTTGTATATACACGAACGATCATACATACCAATCCTTGTGTAATCGCAACCGATCAGAACTGAGTGGTTTTTTATACAAGCAATTTTTCACATCAGACGTATTACAGTGTTACTTGTCGCAATTGCCGGTCGCCATATGGAAACGACGTCAAGATTCTACAGCTACCTATAACCGCTTTGGAATAACTTCAGATTATCTTTATGCAGTGTTTGACATGGCGACCTGATACGACGAAGAGTGCATCGTAACGTTATTACATCCTTGTATGATCCTTGCTGGAATTGGCTGAACGTGGATGGGAGGATGAAACAATTTTTTTTTTAACAAGAATATCAAATCAAACCAGTACCAATTCGGTCAGTAGAAGAACGTAAAATGTTTTAGTACCGTAACTAATGTGAGAAGTTTTTCAACTTCAGTTTTCAAAGTTTACTACCATTAATCGTTAGGCTAGGTTAATCATACGAGATCGTTATTGAGTCTTGAAAATTTATTTTATCTTATTTTAACGTCCCTACTACCCAAGCAGTTTGTTACCTAGGTAGGTATGCGTATGGAATCGTTGGAAGTTATTGGATTCAGAAATATTGTATTCGCTACAAAATAATCCAATGCAATTCCACACAATTCTTTTTGTCTCCGTCTATTTTAGAATCGTTCGAAGAAACGTCGACGCGACGTTGAGCATTGGGAAGGAGCCGATAAATTATTGATGCGTCGCAATTCTCGGAGTACATACGAAGCTATCTTGAAGGAGCGTTCAGGAATTGCGATTAATTGGATCGACTGTCGGTTCCTAGGATCGGTAAGATAATATCGATAGTAGTACAATACATGATATATAATTGTAATTATTGAACACGAATAATTTTTATTTTTGGAATTGTAATTTTTTTAATAATTTTAATTTTACTTTCATCGCTTAGCGTACGATTTCACTACTCTGATAATGTATTCATGAAACTCCATTGGGTTCTTTGGCGGATTCCTATGTAAACTTCACAATATTTGGAGTAGCGTGAATAATCGACGCAATTACAGGGGGACCCGAAGTTGCATTAACCCTCATGACCTGGTCCTTCAGAAACCGGCTCTGTGGGTCGCAACCGATTATCCTTTAAAATGGCGACATGTGCATATATAGCACAAGGGAGAACAGACATGGATCGCGAAAAGGGTTGGAATTGCTACAAGTTTCTGAACGAGGAATTGCAATGAAAGGTAATATATATATATATTTTTTTTGTAATTTGTTACGGAATAACGAGCTTGGATAAAACAACAGAAACCTTAGGCTCGTGCGCCGATGAGACAAATAGTTTTTTTTTTTTCATCTACAGACTCCGCAATTCCTTCGCCGGGCGAAACCACTTTTTACGATTGCACGACGTGACATTTTACCCCTTTGCAATAGCTGCCGACTGAAATTGCGTGCACTGGGTGTCCATAAAGTACCAACTGCGCCGACTCTTCGGAGACGTTGATGGGATTCTTGAAAACTGCCTAATAGAATGTTATACGTCGATACCTGAATGAGGATATGCTTTACGTTGGTAATGTAATACAAAATTTTGTATATTCACTATATACGTATAGAGTTGTATTTGCAATTTAGAAACTTGAATTAATATTTATCCACAGGTAAATCCGAGTCTGCAACCTGAAAAAAATTTCTTTGAAAAAAAAAAGAAAAGCAAAGATGATACAGAAAAGAAATGACATAAGAATATTAGTCAGACTAAAGAAATAAACGTGTTAAGATGCAATCGAATTGCGCATCGATCAGCTTCCAGATAATGGATAATCCATCCAGCGAAGGGTAAAAGGAAAAAAATATTCTCCTTATCCTCTGACTGCGGAGCTTATCGAAAGTGGATCCGCAGTAATACATCAGCCTTGTATAAAAGGACGTGCTAGTAGGGGTGGAATCAAGGTACGTACACACCAGTAGGTTGCCCAGTAGGAAATATATAAGAGCTTGCAAGTAAGCTTGCAGCTGTTACAATTCCCATGGCATTCGGAGAGCATCGTCGTTACGTTCCGTTTTCGTGCAGCCATTTTTCTCGACGAGTTTTTTTTTCCTAACACGAACGCTAAAAATTTTCAGACCCACCGAACCAAGAGCGTCGGGTATTTCTTGCCGTACCAATATATCTTTCTCGTGGTTCCAGAAAATCTTTTTACTTCACGAGAACTTAAGGTAGCTGGGTAAGAATTTTTTTCTAGTTTTTGTTTCAATATGCTTTATCCACGTAACAGTGATGGCGCTGTGTCCTATGATAACCTGTAAAAAAATGTCCTGGTTCTGTGCCTACAGCTACGTCGATTCAATATAAAGCCTGAGGTCATGGAGGATGAACTCCCAGCGAGATAAGTAGACGAGATGCAGAAGGAACGGGAAGTGATTGCATTTTAGTTTGTGATCAAAAGCACGCAAGTTCCTCCTGCTCCTGTTCCTGTGAGCAAACGGCTCTGTATTTCTCTGACGTAGCTCCAGACAATCGGTAAACACATTTTCCATCCCCATCTAAATTTAGGAAAGTGTATACCTGTATATACGCCAGCCAGTCTGCGGAGGAATATATATGTATAGTACGTAATATACGTACATATGCATTTTACCAAACGAAGTTTTCGACGAGGAAAAGTTCTGGCGGTGCTACTGCCCCGTGTCCCTGGAGACTACTGTGATTTATATCAGGTAATAAGAAATGGACGGGTGCTTTAATGGAGTGTGGGATTTATGATTTTTCATTTTGCGTTTAGCTGCGATTTTGAAAATGATTAATTCCCTTTGCATTTTCTAGGGAATTTATAGGTTAATGGAAAACTTGGGGTATACCTGTATATGGACTCTGCGGTATTATAATTCAGTTAACGTAATGCATCATGCCAGACTTCGTTACCACGGGAGAGTGGAATGGCGTGAAGCTTTTGCAGGCTGTCCTGCTGATGCTAAAATCCCTAGGAGTATCTGAGATTTGCAAAGTAAATGGGAGTATGACCCTAGCGAAGACACCAGGCGTGACGCTATCGCATTCCATTTCTGTGAAGAAGACGTGGAAGCTGATCCAGGCGGCTTCGTCACGTAAAATGGAAGGAAAAAGATGGCACGAAAGTAAGAAGGAAATCCCTAGAACGACAGTGCTCAGTACCTTCGTAGGTGCGAGCTTTAGGAAAGCTCGGGAAAGTAGGTGAAACGTTCCCAAGCAATTTCTCCATCTAGCTGGAAGCTTTAACGTGGGATAAAGGAAATTTGAAATGTCTTTTATAGTTCTTTTAATTTAATATTACTTTGTAAGCTTAAGTTTATTTACCTACGTATATCTATTTATTTACTTCATTCCTTGACGTTCAGGTTATTACCATCTGTCCGAGGAGCGTTTAATTCCCGCTGTCAGTACAAATCCGCCGTCTCAGCAGTCTACCAATATCTCCAAGTGACTTTAGTCAAAGTTACGGCGCCGGCAGTTTGATTCTTTGCTATACAGTCGAGATTTGTTAGCCGTGAAATTCACGAAATAACGAGGTAACTTTGTGTGCTTTTAGGTACCCGAGTCTAGACGGGATACCCGGCTTTGTAAATTTCAACCTACAGTTATAGAGTAGTTAAAAGTATGAATTTTCTAATAGAAAAAAATTCCACTTAGATAAGTAAACATAATAATTGTACTTAGCTGCGTTATTACAGACTCGTCTCGTTTTCTCTGTCAGTATCATATAAATCATCCAACGTTCATTTTCAACAATTCAGAGCTCGCGTTACAATGCTTTGCTCTTATTAAACAGCCATTGTTCACTGATAATTGTTAACCGTTTTATTTATAAATCAGATTCTATTAGTCCTAATGCTTAAACCAAATATTTCTCTGTAACAATTATTCTTATACGTCTTGGCTGTTACATACACAGTAATTCTATATTTGTTCCACTTTACCATCTAGTATAGAAGTTTAATAACCCCGTTTAATTAAATTCGAAAGGGCCCTCCGTTTCCCGCTCGTCTTCGATGTCCAATAACCGCAGAAGCGGGCAGCGAACTCGCAAAACTAGCGCAAACTCAAACAAACGACGTTATCTGTTATTCTGCGTACAATGGGACTCAAACAGTAGAGTACTAGTTCTAGTGCTGTAGTACGAGATACGCCAATCCCCTCTCTGGCATTTCATTTACAATGTTCCCAGATAAAATAGTACAGGCTAATTACGAATTTTCATTATAATTAATTGCACGACCGTTAAGCACGTAGAATTTGAATTATCTCCCAGTGATTTAGTGTATCGATTGATTAAGTATGCAAAAAAAATACTGGGTCACTTAACAGTACTCTCTTCGATCATTTAACCTCACTTTGAGGACTTTAATTAAGGTTATTCAAATATCAATCGTTTATTAAATTCACAGAGCTCACTGATAACTGTGTAAAGAATATACCCAGTGGCACGTATCGTTTCTAACGAAACACAGGGTATACCAACCTATACGCATACTGAATGCCCAGCAGAATTCACTCAATAAGTTCATGAAAGGCTCTGCCAATGCAAACAGTGCATTACATTGAAACAATGGCACAGAGTGAAATAGCGTAACAGATAAAAGACCATGTATACGTTTGTATACTCTGTAGATCCCATATAGTTCACATACCGCGTGACTCGTAGGAATCAGATGAATTAGAAATATGTATAAGTTTGACACTTATTGCTTTTACCCGTGTAATATCTTTATACGTTATTTACCTTGATACAAGTTAGAAAATTATATGGCAGCGTCAAATTAATTACTTATTATGATTAAGTCTTAGAGGACTTCAATCTCTTATGTGCAAAGCGAATACAGTGTGTAGTATAAATATATATATATACAAGTATAGTAAAAACAATATCAAGTCACTCTTGATGACTTATAATTTCCATAGCAAATTCTGACAATGCATATATTACAGTCAATCCTTAGTTTCAGAATGTACAGAACGAAATGCTCATGAAAATGCAGGCCTGCACGCTAATCAATCTCAACTTGAAGTAATCTTCGCGGCATCAACTTTTCCATATCATCCGAAAACGGGAGAGCCGCCCTGGCCTGTAGCTGAGAGAGCGAGCGAGAGAGAGAAAGAGAGAGAGAGTCAACGTATGTTGTCTATGCAGATACAACGTTGCAACTAATAATGCTGCACCGTAAGGATTACGTGGGGGAGTCTAAATGGTCCTGCAGGCACCAGGTTGATGGAAATATGCAACTCCGCAAGATAATATACAAAAGGTATTGCCTGTGGGGGAGGTCCGTAAATAAAAGTTCTTGAAGAACGAAAAAAACAAATGTTCCTCGCCGTTCTGTCCTTTGTGACCTGAGGTAAGGTCGAGTGGCCTGAACGAGAGCCTCCAAGGAAATTCTTAAGGAAACCACGCAGTCCGGGAGATACAGCCAAGTAGAGAAAACTTTCTGTATCTACGTAATGGATATTATTTGAATAGTCTCTATTTATATTTTGTAACGTCGCCATTATATCCTTCGGATGCAGTAATCAAGCACCCAGCTTTTATGTGGAATATACATTGTGCCTGTTCTCCTGAGAAATTCCAAGTCTACAGTCTACTCCAATAATAGACGGTGATCCTGTGGTGTAACTGTAAAGTATATGTATGTGTATGGATAGTTAATTATATTTCGCTATCGGACAATAGACTGTAATCAATATGGCTAGATTGCATATTAGGTTCCAACAAGTATGTGGACCGTTCCTGGTATCTCGGCGCATTCCTTAATAACCGCACAATAGCCTCAGTGATGTTGAAAAATGTTTAAATCCAATAACTACCATTTGCGTGCGCAGCTGTAATCTGTCTGTGTGGTATTAACGGATAGAATGTCGATTCAAATGATCTTATATGTTTAACTATTAGCTATTGACCTTAAGTCACTCTTATGAATGCCTATTGTACTCGTTTAGACTGATTAAGCTGCTTCTTGCTTTCCAAAGGAGCTTTTACTTTCGTGAAGGGTGAAGATTCCTAGAGTCCCTCTAGTAAGAGTCCGGCCAACGGCGGGGCTTGTTAGTGATTGGCTCCGCCATATTATGGGCTCTTGCCGGAATAGAATGGTGTGTGTGAATACGTATATGGGAGAGATTCGCATTGTGTACTATGGTAGGGTTAAGCCCTGTACGGCGGGTTGCCTGTACTTGGCGCGAGACTCGACCGAGTCTCGCGCAATGTCATGGTGGCGCCAAACAAGCCCTTAATATGGCGCCCCTTCCGGGTGTTGGCCGGACTCTTACTAGAGGGACTCTAAAGATTCCTGAGCACTTGCGCCTCTGGCGGGGTTCGTGGGATTTAATTTAAAAATATTCTACTAGATACCGAATTTCTAGGAAGTTCACCATGTTGATTCTGGCATTCAACTCGAGCTATTGTACCGAAATAAACGCCGGTAGGCAGGCAATTCGCTTGACTGATTTGTATAACGTGATGCGTGTATCTTACTGCGTGTATGGATCTGTGTGTGGACTTTGGCATACAATTGCTATTGGATGAAACGGATGAAACTACTGAATTGACAATAGAGTTAGGTTAGGGACGCTTTGGGTAGACATTAATGTCTTTGAATTAATTACAGCTCTGATAAATCAACGGTACTTTAATTCATGGGTTTGATTATATTATTTAAATGGGTACCTGTCCATTACGTTGCATTTGAATAATTCTCTTTGGTCGTCATTATAGGGCATTCTCTATTTGGTCACTTGTAATTTCGTTCAATGGTCAATAACGCTGGTTCGTTTGCTTCCTATCAGTTAGTAGAATATTGTGGTTTAGACATTTTTATAATAAAACAAATTTTGTTTCAGATTCTGTTATGCAACGGTTTATCTTTCTCCTGTGGAAGACACTTAATCGTTTTCATGGTGAGATTAAATGACCTTTATCGATCCGTTAAACATTCCACTAGGGTGGCAACACCCTTTCATTATATATAAACAAGATTACCGTATGTCGTGCGGTTTCCCCCAGAGTACCGCCTATGGATACCTGCAGAGCTATCTGTATGCAGATTGTGTTATCACCATTGCATACTGTACTCGTGTAGAGTGGAGACGCCAAAGGCGATATCGTTAATCCGATCTGGGAAATGTCATTTCCCAGAATTTATATTAGTACAAGAAGAAAGGTTACGACCTTGTCAACAAAAAATGAGGTACAGTTCGTTTTTATATTTTGAATTAGTCTGTAATCATGAATAATGTCATGTTTCAAAAAATTATTCTAATCAGTCTTTAAATCGAAATCTGGCTCTGTTGTTATCTGTCAAAATGAAAACTCTCTTCCTTCTTTGGGAATCTATGTGTGGTACCATCGCCTTCACTTTCACTATCCTCTTTGCTGGCACAATTGCACGAGTGTCGGAGTGCACGTAACTTTCACTGTAGTCAGGTCAACGAGAAAGTATTCATTGTTCACTCTCGTTTTCGTTGCAGGACTATTTCGCTGGATTTCACTTTCGATGACCTCGACCAAGCCGCTAACCAAAAACGAAAAGCGAACCATAACCTCAGTCAAGACGTCTACAATATGGAGATTGATACAGGTCAGGATTAAAAAAGTCTCAAGACCATAGATTCACTCTCCCTTTCGTACAAGCGCCTAAAGAACTAGAATTTCACTTTCAATGACCTCAAAACTCGAGGTTCCTTACTTCGCTGACTCGCTTTCACACCGATACTCGTCCCAATGACCCAAAATTTTGGATTCGTCCCCGAGGCCCAACTTTCCCTTAGTTTTTGGGTCAACGGATGAACCACTTTCCTACTTTTTCTATATCGACCCAGTATTCACTTCTAAAGTCGAAGTTGCGCTGTTCGGTTTCTTAATGTTCCAATCGAGGATAAGAGTGATGGATGATTCATGCTTTTGGCCATTATTTTTTAATTTCGAAATATTTTATGGAATTATTAGTGGCTATTTAAGTATGAACATAAATTTCATTTTTGCGTATATAAAATTTTATACTTTTTTCTCTTGCACCTTGTACATCGTTTATCGGTCTTTCAGAAGTTTCGCAAGGATTTAATTATTGTGATCGGTTACGGCATTCATGGACAATTTAATTATCGCGGTGGCTACCGAAAATCGATGGGAAATCATACTCGATCTTGAATTATCGCGCCGTTCGTGTCTCGACTGACGTCCTTCTTAATGCGAACGATATCAATTAGTAAATTCAGGTGTTCGCGATCCCCACAAGAGGCAAACAGGCCTTTGGGCGGCCCCAATACAAGTTAATAAATCGTTGATCGTATCGGATTTTTATTTATCCCAGAGATTATTCACGTAATTAATAACTGGATGATGGCAGAAAGCTTCTTTATTATTCTCTGATGTAATTACGATGGCTGCTGTTACGCGTTCGCTTGTAATAAGCATCAATCAGCTTTCGTATATCTTATATTGATCGTTTCTCATAATTGGCGCGAAATTCAAATGATCTTACTTGATAATAAAGCAATTGGGTTTGGTATCAAAGTTATGATGGTATTCATATTGTTTCAATTAATTAAATTATTTACACTTGCAATCCTTTTGTTATAAAGTAATTTTATTGATTTGTAATAAGTAACAAGCGTGGAATCACGTTTATAATTATCATTGAAGATTTTTTGGTTTTAAAGATTTCCAGTTGTAACTGGAAGATCGTAAACAGATAATATAGAATTGAAATATTGCATATTTAAGCTGCCTTTTTTTTTTAGATATACTCATGTGAATATTCATGTAATATGCTCACTTAGGGAACCTTAACCGTAAATTAATCGAAAATATTTTTTTATTATATAGTATATACTATGCTGGTAACACTGTTTTCCATTGCTAAAACTACTGAAAATTATTTGAACTGAACTTTTTATCGATGTTTACATCATTTCTTTTATCACGTTTAATAACAGCTACTACATTTCAAATTATTATCATAATGCAGTAGCTTGTTCCTTATAATCTCTCTTATTTGAGCATAATAACAATATTGCTTCAGCTTATCAATCCAGAGTGGTTTAATATTGTGAAATCTTATATCTCTCATACTTCAATATATCCTTGAACGTAACTATGATATGTAGATTGTCTACTGCGATAAAACCTTAGACATAAAAATAATCACATCGTAGCCCATAAACCTCTATTAAATTCAAAATAAATATAATCAATAACCAACATTGGTATCCTGCCTCTTGCAAGTGAATGCATAAAAAGAAAAACAAGTAGCACAAATATCATGATCGAAAAAAATATCAATCCATGCTTAAGCTATAACAAATAAATTTTTCAGTCTTCGATCATCCTGATAGAATAAAATAGTCTTATAAACACTTTGAAAGATTTTACTGGAATTCATATAAAGAAATTCATGTTGTATATGGCGCTGTGAAAAGAACTGTAATTTCTTTCTTCGTTCCTCAATTCACTCTCTGCTTTGATATCAGTAAATTCGATACCGTAATACACCAATAGTCATTTTTTTAATATTGTATCTACTTGAAAATTTTTCAGCACGTCGTTCACATTCCTCTTGATATTCTCTTCGACTACAGGTGCTATGTTCCATCTTAAAGTGCCAGCGGTCCAGGTTGAAATTTTGGATGCTAGCCAATTCAGCCCACCTAAACCCGTGACGTGTGCTTCGATTTTGCTATACGGTATAAAACGACAATGCGTTATAAATAAATTGTAGCAAAAGAGACACGTGACACGCAGTCATCATTAATATTTGAAATGTACCTGATATCAGTAATTTTGAATTCAGCAAGACGTACACTAACGCCATCTTCGGACTTTTCAATTACAAATTTAAAGAGGGCAGCATTGCTACCAACTGTTGTTTCAATCGAACCGGTTGGACCAACATCCATAAACTTTGCCGAGTATTGATCATAACCAATCTACAATTAATAACAGGTAGTGATTAATCGGCTGGATATGATAATGATAATAGCTTTTCACAATACCTTCAATTCATTTAAGCCAACGGTACCCAGTATCACAATCGAATTATTCTCTAAGCTGACCGTGACGTCACCGTTACGACGCAAGGTTGCCAAATTACGAAACCAGCCGTTTCTTGCCTCGAATCTTCCGGTGGTCGTAACCGCCGCCACGTTTCTTGTAAAGGAAGCATTGATATCCGGTGCAGAAATTTGTGCAGAATTCAACTCGTTAATACGATTATTTGCGTTCGCGATTATTTTATCAAAAATGTCGTTAGCTACTACGCTTATGGCCTTTTTGTGAGATCTGAAAGAATTGAGAAATTGAATCATACAAATGGATAAAAACAGATAGGAGCCTGAAGTCGGTAACAGGAGATTGACACAATTATAAAGAGAAACATTTGATAATTTGCAAATCTAATAACGACGATCAAATAACAAGGATGACTGCTGAACTTTTTTTTGATCTACTTACTTTAAACTATCCACCAGTTCCTCCTCACCCTGCAGCAACTCACATACTGATAACTCGACGATAACTTCGTCAAGATATTTCTTCAAAGTTTTACTTAGCACTACACTTAGATCCATCCACAATTGTGCAGCTATCGTTTCCTCTGTGAACGTTGAAAATCGCACAGTAAATTCACAATGGCGCCGATCAGCTACACGGCAGCAGTTTATTTCTGGATACCAATGCTCTACTTTTTTTGGTTTAATTTTAATTCTTACCAATCCTGTCCTTATCTAGCTCGACGTTAACCTCTTTGTCGTTATTTTGATAAAGGATCTTAACAATAACCTTTTCTGCGGTATACTTGAGTCCGTAATTATTTGTCAAGAAACTGTCTTCAATTGGGTACATTCCAATCAATCCTTCAGCTTTGACATTTTCACATGAAATCCTTTGAAGTAATTAAATTCATTGGCAATTGAGATTATTCACATTAATCATAATATCTCTATGTTACGGTATCAAACTCACTGCAAATTCCCCGTTGTTGAGATTGGCAGAAGATTGTTCAAGGCCTGATTATTAACAAAGAATTTTCCAGATATCTGCAAATTTCCAACGTCGATTTTCACATCCAGGGAAAGTAGCTCCAGATTTGAATTCACTGCAGTAAAACGAAAATTCGGTTCTCTCAGCAGATTCAAATCAGTCAGTTCTCTAACAATGATTAAACGAGAATAATATTAGCCATACTAATAAAATACACGACCAGTACATTTTTAATTTAACAATTGCACTTTTAATATACTTACACATGAGTATTAGCTACATTGAAAAACACATCTCGAATAGGATACTGTACCGTAGCGTTGTGTCGTATTGATCGTCTCACCGCCTCATTCGTGAAACCCTGAAACCACAAGAGACAGTAGAAAATTAATGAAACATCGACGATCGGTGTTATCAAAAAAAAAAGTTCTCCATATTCCCAAAAAAACAACTAAACCTAATACCCTGGTAATGGTCGATTCAAACTGATTCTTTCCCCATACGATAGCTTGAAGCAGGGCCGGGTTTTGCACTGAAATCAGAATAGAAGAATTCTTCATTACCGACAGAGCGATATAACAATTTTCAAAAATCATCCTAAACATAAAGATAAAATCTTTCTCAGATTGCAGCACAAACATAAAAAAAATCCTTGTACAATGAGAGCACTGCATAAAAGATATTTTATTTTAACAGATCTCTTCCATATCGACCGAGCGTCAATTCTCATTTCGTCACGTCAAGAATGTCCGCAACAATATGTCGCGCGATGTAACACGTCGGCGCTGTTTACTTCTCAAAAATTTGACGAGAACTCCGTTAAACAAAAAACTCGCACCCAGTTGAAATGCATCGTAATATCAGCAAGAGATACGTATTGAGAATACAAAGTATAATAAATTGTAACTCACCTCTAAACACGTCCATTTTATGTGGGATTATTCTGTAGAGCTAAACGCAGCTTGTTCTACCTCGACTAACCCACGTGTCCACCTACACGTAGAACTTTCCCCTGAGTCAGTGATCACAGAAGCCTGAGTCTCATGTACGTACAGCTTTTAGATTTTTTTTTTTCATGTATACGTAATCGTTATACGATGATAACACTACGTTTTAACAAGCCTAACAGGCATATAGAATTGATTCGTAAAGCCAAGTGTTCATTCTTCGTGCTTGTGCCTATATGCTTACGTATATACAAATTACGAATACTAAGCAGATGGACGCTTCTGATTTGCTTACGGATTGAAAGAATTCAAAGCATCTATTAGCTTTTTTTTTGTTATGCAAAGAGAGAGAGAGAGAGAGAGATACGCGATAGTTCAAAATTTATTCTAAATACGAGTCTATTGGACCTATTGACACGTTTAACTTTTCAGCATTTCAATTGACATATGTCATATTGGACTTTGATCAGCCGTTAAGTAAAGTTCGTGTGAAATTTAAAATTAGATACTTAGTCATACTTTTGAAATTTTAACTTAAATTAGATAAGAGACTCACAACTGTTTTATATGATTGTACTTATTAACAGTGATATATTTACACTTTTTTTTTCTACTACAAGTAAGTTCAAACTGATTCACGGTTTCAATATCTCAGCGCGGACAGAAACCATGGTAAAATATAGAGATTGATTTTATCGACAGTTGCTATTATAAGAATAAAAACTGCATTAATATATAACATATAATCAGAATAATAAGGTCCAATGAAAGTCATTATCTGATTGTTCCTTTAATTAATATCATGATCTCATATTCGTTAATCATTTCTCTTAAGACATAAACCAAAATATCTGAGCACAGCAAACCTAATTATTTTTATTCTACAGAGTACCACAGTAAGAAGTATTACGTTTCCCAGCACAGTCCAATTGTCAAGATATCTCAAAGGATAAAGATAAAAAGAAGATGGATCAGTGTTTAACCACAATTTAAATCCGCCAAGAAGTGATGCCAAATATTTAAACTACACCTGAAAGAGAACCCACCAATAATAAATTCAATGTAAATAAAAAAGTTCATCAAAAATTATCCAAATCCATATTATCGAAAATATTGATTCACTCGTGTACCTACTATTAATTTTACATAAGAAAATTTCGTAAAAACACTCAGTTATACGTCACTGTGCTTACGCGCAGCACACTTCCTGGTATTTTCATGTCTGTTGTATAGAAAAGTTTTAATACGTACGCATGTATATTGATCTAATCTCTACCAAACAAACAAAAATACAGTATGTGCATATATCACATTAACCTGCTGCCTAATACATATTACTTAGTTACAAAAGTCTAAAGCCATTGCTTATTTAGAAGGTCGCTCTTAAGCAGCAAGTGCAAAATATGCCTGCCGAATGATGATGCGAATAACGCAAAATAATCGTGAAATCGTGTAAACATGTTTTGCGAGGTGTACATATGAAAATGACGTGTTATTTAAACTCTTTGTAGGTAGTAAACATGTAGTTTTGATTTCTACTGAGATAGCTATATATATATACTATATAATACTTCAATATAGGTATCCGACGTGAAGAATGTTTTTTTCAGTGATAAAGTCATCTGCAAGCATGTGTGATGCAATTGCAAATTCCATTGATGTAAACAAAAGTGTTATCGAAACTTTACCTACCATTTTAAATTCTGTGCATGAAATTGGTATTTGTATTCAGGGTCAACTACCTTCTACATACATTTTCTGGTCATCTGGATCAATAGCACGACGAACTTCTGGTAACCAATGGTAACACCTAAATATTATGAAAATATCAGTCTTGAATAAAGTTGGCTGCTTAAAATGGACTGTTCCAGGAATCGCTGTTCAGAATGTATAAGGCTACGTTCAGTCGTAACAGAGGCAGGTCTTTAACCTGACAAACGAAATTCAGGTGAGCCAGTTATAATATCGCCTTGTTTGTTTCCTTAGAACGTAAACGAATAAAAGAAGGAGAACGCCAGTGGCAGCAGATATAACAGCTGTGACTGTTGGGCGCAGAGATCAAAAATCGGACGCACCAGAAGAAAAATCTAATCGGCATAGATATCAAACGTGGGAATTGTTTGGCTGTGAAAATAATTATCCTTGAACGTCCCCACCGCTCTGACTAAGATTTAGAGATATTCGTGGCGTCTTTAGAAACAATAGCGTGAGATGTCACGTGGATCGTTGTTTATCTCGTTTTGTCCTTGTCTAATGATTTCACGAGGCCCAATGGGAAAGCAGAACGTAGTGGGTGCGTCTCACGATGACGTATTAGCCACCGAGCATAACAGTATCTGCAAAGTAGAATGTTTTTCAACGTGTGCTTTAGCGTCGACGTCAACGAAAACACATACCCATAGTTTTTCTGTAAATTGTTTTTATGTTATGGCTCGTCCACGGTTGTGAAATAAGCGCGATGAAGATGCAGGATAAACATATATGCGAAAATTGTTGGAATATTGTTGACAGCCCGGAAGAATCTTCTAGCATGTTTTCCTGATGTTTACCAAGGAAGTTATTAAATCTTCCAATTGATAACCAACATTTGTTTACGCCGTTTAGAATTTTTCAATACTTTTATACATTATTCTTGCTTGCAGCGCTGGACAAATTATGTTCTTACTCTCATTCCTTTGTTATTTATCGTTAGCCGGTACTGGGGCAGTGACCTGAGATCGTAACGATTTAATGGTGGGTGTGAACATAGTGAAAAGAGTCAAATACTCTGTCCAATAATATCCAAGTAGTTTTATGATACTCCAACAGTACTTGAGTCATCTGAAACGAAGACTGATCGAGAGTCTCTGTAGCAACGAGATCCTTCACCTTCTCTTTTCAATCTTAAAAACTCCTACACGAAACTTTAGTAACTCTGTAAACAGAAAGTGAAATATTAACTCGTGGAGCATTCAGAATATTACACAATTGACAGTCGACTGACTCGTGTTTGTTCTATAGGTATATTATAACCGTATTCCACGTATTGCATCTTTGTTATATGCACATTGTGTCCGTTACAATTATTTGACGAGTTACGATAGCTGATTACGCCACTGTTCCTAGGTAAAGGACAAAGGTTTTCGACAATATTATGGCTGCGCGGACAATGGCTGGATTGTCTTCTTCGGGTCTAAGTAGCACAGCCCAGGTACTCCTGACTTTTTTTGTATTGCCTCAACGTCACAGTTTTATCCATTGGATTGAACTTTTATATTTTCATAACAGAGAAGTTCGTTGCTGAGACGTCGTCCGAGCTACCAATGAGCGTAAAGCATTTGCGAAAACACATCGACCGTTGCCTCGGTCGCCACTTACGAATTGCCAGTCGCTATATTATGTTAGTCGGTCACACCGATTAACTTTAGTTCGTTTCTCGCGCTCCTACGAGTAGCACGTGTTCTCTCTATTCTTGATTGTAAACATATAATACATATAATGCGTTTAGTGTCCCAAGCGTGGTAAAGCAGTCAAAGGATATGGTACAGCTGAATATTATTTTTTATATCATATCAAAGTCGCAAACATGTGACTCGCGCGATCTTTTCTGACATTTAAAGAATACCTTTTCTTATTTGTTTACGAGAAGTGAAAGACTGACATTTGCGTGTTGATTTGAAGCTGTGTATAACCTGACTAAGCTTTGTATGGAACAAAGAAGACTTGCAGTGGGTTTTCTTTAAAATTGAGTGAGTAAAAATTAATTTTTCGTTTATCCTCTCCCGTCACTCATTTTTCTCTCTTTCTGGTATACGTAACGTAAACGTTAAGCGTTACTTGCGTGTTTGCTGCCTTAAGTATGTACAGTGACGTGCAGCGTGACGTTGATGTTTATCCATATATTTTGAAATATGGCAACCGAGCTTCCTCAAAACCCAGTCTTATGAAATTGTTTTTTTTTTTTGGTAGATAACATTACTTAACTCCCTTTCTATCTTTTATTACTCGATGAGAATGTTTTGCTGTAGAAATATTCTAGGAACAGTAAATAATTCACTTTGCGGACGCCTACGTACCGACGCCATTACTATAGGACGCTATTATCTTGGATATCGTTTATGCTTTCCAAGAATGGTCACTTTTACATATCCTGTTATAGTGATGCAGTACGGTACTTAGAATTCTGTATCTCGAAAGTTCAGACTGTGGCTATTGGATTAAAAATAGTTGCAAGCTCAAGACTCTATATTCAGTGCCAGGTCCATGGCCAACTCATTAACCTGGCCCAGGGCCAGGGGTCCTGGCGAGCTTTGAAATTCTTGTTTTGGCCTGGAATTTCGTCGGCGGATATCGTGAATAACAAAAATATATAGATTTTCTGCACTGACGTTGCATGATCTAATAGGCTATAAATTTTCGCTTCTTGGATATATTATGCATCAACGACTTTCACTGTTACGGAATAGCGTCAGCTGACGCAATTGATTACTCCCTGTTAAATAATCTCAATGAGCAGTATTATGCACGAATTGCAATTCAACACTGTTGTCTCTTATATCACAGTGTATAAGTGTATATCTGCGTTACTCTCTATCCTCTATACCAGTTTTAAAGGACGCGCCACGGCGAGAAACGGTTTTTCAAGACCGTGCAACTTTCTCGTGAGATTAGAACGGTTTCCAGACGAGAGACTAGCAATAGAGATGGAAGTCGGAGGGGAGTTGAAAAAAAAAGAGGAGTCACTCGACTTACGTGGTAGCCGTGAGTCTTACAAAAAGTAAGGACTCCAGTGGAGTCACGGAACCTCTCTGCATGAATAATGCCGTTCGACCGCATCACGAACTGCAGAAATAATATACATAATATATAGAACGATACGTAAAATGACGTAACGCGTCTGCAAGGAGCAAATAGACTCAGACATGTAGAGAAGCGAGTTAAAATAGACTCAGGAAGCATCCTAATCCGCTAATAAAATTATATCCAGTCAGGGTCTTAGGTCTTGGCTCTGTAACACTTATGATCTTTTATCCCAGATAAAATAAACATGAGATGAACTCTCAGTACTTATGGTTATGTATATAGACTTTTTGTTAATTCGTTTCACTGAGCAGACTCTTCCTTTGCAGTGAGCATATAGATATCATCTGGTACTAAGAGTCAGTACTCTTCTCGAAAAGGAGGACAAGATTTGATCCTGGCTCAAGTATAACGTAATGCAGACAATGTTTGTATTATCTGGATACCGTAGTACTCAGTGGAACGGGATGAAGATTGTTGATGACATCATTCTACCTTTTCTCCATGTTCCAGATTGACTTGATTTAGAAAGTTTTTATATCTTACCCTGGAGGGCCTTTGGCTAGCACGTTGCCAAATGTCATGATCAATCCGGCTGACAGGTATATTGTCTGTTGGTATTTAGATCGTTGGTTGAATAATTGCAAACTTTGACAGATGAATAAGTTACAGTGCATCGACCTGAGTTACTGGAAAAAGTGCCGTGACAATGTCCTTAGGTTTTCTGTGCCTTGGTATATATATTTATGCTACACTCTCATCCGGTGTAAACATTGATGAGATACGTATCCTGTCCTGGAAGTAGAAGAAGATGGAGGACTCGTGCAATGCTCCTGCGATAAATAAAAGACAGAAATTGAACGACGGGCATACAATAGCCGTTACGTTGACTCCTTGTCATGTTCGACAATACTCTAGTCAGTGTAGTGAGTAGTCGGAAAAAAGATGTCGTTAAAATCACTGGATTTTCACACGAAACAAAGAGCTACAATAATAAGTCATTTATTGATGATTAATTAAAGTGATACGAAACCTTTGTGAACACGTGAAAGGATATTGACGTCACTTTAACCTGCTTCCTGTTTGGCATCGAGGACTTCTGGTTCTGTGCCAAAGATAATTTTCTACGTGGTCGGATATAAGCTCTAAGTAATAATCGAAGCCATTTTTACCAAATTTGAATTCGATGGTAATCTATGTAAATTATTTTGGATTGCTCATCCTAACCTAAAAGTCTCCTGCGTAACGGTAATAATGTATTGTAGGAGTACTTATCTAGCAGTCGCGTGCGAGTATCTTTCCGAAGATGTTTAAACGCAGAGATTCTCTTATCAAGGTTTGTCTTATCAAAGGCAACTCGTACATGTCCGTGTAAAATCTAGTCTCACGGTACAATGCCACGGTTATATTATCCAAGGATTAGACTTTTACCGCCTAGCGAGTCGAAAGCCTACCATTCCGTATCCATTTCATATTTTTCCTTTGTTTCACATTTTTTTTTTACTTCCTTTTTTCTCTACTTCTTAGTCATGCGAAACGCGAGAACGGCAAACAAGTCTCTCTTGAATTTCGGCCAGACATAACAGAGTGTCTGTGCTGTATGCTGTGTCGCCTGTATAGTTAAGCAACAGAGTGACACTGTGAAAAGTAAATGCGGACGTTTGACCGGCAGTGGAAATTTTTGTCGACACAGAATTTTTTTTGTAACTCTTCACTCACATTGGAATCTGACAAAAATTGTCGGAGCAGACTTAACCACCAGGTGTTCGCTGTTTTATTTTTACAAATAGCACAGGACTACGCTGGTGCGTGATTCATGGCTTTTCGTTCTCTGTTAATATTTTTGGTGTCACCCCGAAAAGCGTTTTCTCATCATTAGCTTATATCGGTGACTTCTCGTTGTATGGTAATCGTGACGTTCGTCACTCGAGGAAGACAATTTCCAAGTAATTTATTATGGACGAACGTTCGGAATATTTGTGAAATCGTTAAAACCTAGCATTACCATAAATGACGCCATTATGTTTGACTTTTCTATAGTCATTGCTGAGAATTAATTTGGGAGATATCTGTTACTTGTATTAGTATTTAATTTATTATTTTATGTACAATTATAATGTATGCTTTATATTCTCTGTGAAAAATCATCGGGAATGCCAGTCTTAGACGTGTGTTTAAAGTAGGCAACATTTGAATGTTTTCTGATTAATTAAATTGAACAGGGTACAATGTCCAATGGCCTTGATCCACGAACGTTTTGCAGTAAGCAGTGACTGATATATTTTAACGAATTCACGTGTTCCGATCTATACAATTGTTATGTAATTATGAACGATGAATCATCCGAGCAAGTTATACCGTCTCGTTCTATCTATGGCTTCCAGAAAAACGTCATTCCTATTGGCGCTTTTGAATGAGATAGCAAAAAAGTGAGTAGGAGTGACGCAAAAGAAAATAGGATTTAGATGGCATTATAACCTGTCAGCCACGTGTACTGTGCGAAAGATAATTTGACTATCCATTTAAGATGACTGTCACTGCTATGCAACTGATTATAATTGACATTTTGTATGATAAACTCGAGCGTGTTCTTCGATTCCCAATTATTCGAATTTAAAGTTGATTTGGAAATGTGGTTATTCATTATAAAATGCAATTTATGATCTGCTTTGTTGGATAAGGTTTCGAAATTATTACAAAGAATGACTATGGTACAATGGACATAAAGAGAACTAAACATTTTTGTACTATTACCGTACAGTCATTGTACGCTTTTTACTTATCCGTAAACAGGTTAACGTGAAGAAATAATTAATCACTGTTGAGTCATGCATGCTTTGTACTTTGTTCCAGATTCAAAGAAGACTGAAAATCGCGCCACGCGTCGTTCTGCTCACGTGATTCGCCATTTTATCGACCGCTCAAGATTGGATGTTCTGATTGGTCGAAAGTTGATCACGTGATTCATTCTAACGTCAAGTTCGGCCGTCTGCTGGTGGCCGAGTGGACTTCTTAACGAGTCGCCGAGGAACAAAGGATTGTCGTGTCGGCTTCTCGTACTCCGTTTTTCTCTAGTCGATTAACGCAGCACTTTGCGATAGCGAAAGCGTTTAGAAAAAATTTGTGAAGTTGTACGTGTCTAATTGTGCTACGTTTTAATTGCCATTGGGGAAAACGACTATTCGACTTGTGTTGAACGTTTTGACAGCTTACTGCTAACGTTGAGAGAGCCAAGTTGCTCGATTTTTCGAGAAATTTTGAATTTTTTTTTTCTACTACACTGACAAGGCTCGGTTGATATATAATTTGTGATTTTCTATTTCCACCGAGTGACGCTTGACTTGGCATACATATTTCCATAGCGCTGTCGCGCGAAAATGGTTAGGTGAAACTTTGAAATTTGTTGGGATCCATTTTGAGTGACGCGTGGTTGACATTTCTGTTTGAAAAATTGTTTCCGCTACTGAACGCGCATCTTTTGATTCTCTTGAGTGAAGTTTGTGATTTCATCGGGACGTGCTTGTCACGTCCCAACAAGGACGTTAAGGAGTCTAATCATCAGGTGTATTGTCCGGTTCATCACATTTTAGGACCAGCTGGGAGCAAGCCTTGAAAATGTACAGCATGAACTACATTGGAAAGTTCATCAGCAATTTTCGGGACTTTTATAACGAAATTAATACTGCTACTCTCACTGGAGCAATTGATGTGGTTGTTGTAGAACAGGCTGATGGATCATTCAATTGTTCTCCATTCCATGTTCGTTTTGGAAAATTGGGTGTACTCCGTTCCAGAGAAAAAGTGGTAAGCACAATACCAATTCTTATACTAGGCTATACAAATCATTCCTCGGACTGTTTAGAGTTTTCTAGTTTGCATGTTTTTAGTATTAGGAATTAACAAAAAATAAAGTATATGACTGACAATAATTGTGAGCAACGGTTATATTGTCAAACATTTATAGCTAGATATTTTAAAAAGCTTCCTAAGTTTCTATAGATAAAGATTTATCATTATATTGAAGGATGCACGTTAATATAGGGATATATATTTCTAAAAATAGATTGTTACTAATAATGAAAAGAAATATACTTACAAAAATATTTTGTACTATATATAATTTGCTGTGTAATAAGTTTTAGACATTGAACTGATAATCTGATAAGATTTTATTTCAAAACCAACTGATGACCCTGAGAGCACACAATACTAGCTGTTACCTGAAAGCATTAAGTAATGATTTATGTGGTGGCTCAATCACGATTAAATACATAATTACAAAAAAGATTTTTAAATACTTGCAATACTTTGTACATAATTTACACGTTAACAGTGTTCTATAGTATACATTATTTTTTCATCAAACTATAATTAATAATAATATATAAAGAAGCACTTATTCTTTTAAAAGGAATTCATTATGCTGACGTTATTGAATTATGCAATCACATCATTTTCTAGTTACATTAACTGTATAATTTCAGTTCTTACTACTTGGATTTGCATATTATGCAATAAAGCGATGCAGTAGTTTGCTCATCCATTCTTTGTAAAAAATAGTAATAATGTAAAAAAATGTATTACCAATAAATGCTGATATTAGCAATATAAATATTAAGTAGAATCAAAGGTCGACTATACTACTACAAGACGCGTATATCTTTTTAAATAATCAGTATCCTTTCTTCATTCTTTCCAGGTGGATATTGAAATAAATGGAGAGCCACGACAGATTCATATGAAATTAGGAGACTCTGGAGAGGCTTTCTTTGTCGAAGAAGTTGGTTCTGATGGTTCACCCGCAGACTCGGAAATTCCACCGCATTTAGCATGCTCACCAATTCCTGTCGACAGTTGTTTTCCATCCACCAGGTCTGATAATATTTGCTTCAAAATAGCCATTAGGGTGACATGCATTATAAAATGACCCTGTTTTTCCATAGTAGTCGGGTTATCCTTATCGGTAACTTGAGAGAGTTAAAATTGTAAAACAAGTTAGAAGTTTAAAACAACATGGGCAAACTGTATTCTTGAACCTAGTCTTTCCTCTGTCGTATAGATTCAATCTGCTCTCGGATTTGCCACAAGAACAGCACGAGAAGATCCTGAGGGATTCTGTGTTGTCCATCGAACGTGAAAAATGGGAGCAAATGTCCTCCTTGCCACCTGACGAACGTGAGAAATTCCTTGTTGAACAGTTTTCCGACCTACCTATCGAGCACCGTGAGAAATGGCTACAGATCGCATCTCTTACATCCGAAGAAAGAGACAAAATATTCCGGGAGAGCTTTGGCAGCGTTTCTACGTTGCAAAAGCAGCGGATGATCCGTGAGCAGTATTCTGCCTTAAAGAACGAAGACAAGGAGAGACTCTTCAAGGAGAACTTTCCAGAACTACCAGCAGAGCAGCGACAAAAATTTGAAAAGGCTTTGTTGACTGACTGGCCGAGTAAAGATGAGAAGTGGGAGAAGAAGGAAAAGATTTTGAAGGACGACGATGAGGAAATTTTTGACATGGACAACATCAACGAGGACGAACCGCGACCTGCTCTGTCTACACCAAAATCATTTGTCGCTGTTACCTCATCCGAAAGGATTCGCAAGATCAGTGTTGTGAACAATGACTTCAGACCGATCACTGATGATCCTCAAAGCAGTAGCAAGGAAAAATCAAGCGATGAGTCAAATACATCCTTGACTAAGAAGAACTCGAAGGAGGAGTCGGTGGAGGAAGTGAAGACTAGCAATAACTCGAAGAGAAAGAGGAAGAGGAAGAGTATCATGAGGAAGAAAGGTTCCCAGAGGAAGACCAGCAATGGCAGCAGCAGTCAGACGGAAATGAGCGAAACTGACATTCTTGTGGCTGATGAATCCCAGAGTGAACCTGTAAGTCTCGTAACCTGATATTTAGCGTACTGAATATGTATGATATCCCATCCTACCTCCCAATGATCTATTTTATTTCTGATAATATATTAATTAAAGATATTGAAGGGTCCTAGTCCGGTCGCCGAGGTCGAGACTAAGAATGCATCTTGTGAAACAATTACCATTCATTCATCGTACACTCAGGAGACATTGGTCAAACATCCTGAAACAGACTTCCATTTCTTCAGTGACACCGAAGTCACAAAGTAAGTGTTATCAAACTATACATTCAATAGATTTTGCACTGTTGTTGCATCTTGCAAATTAATATCCTAATACAGTATTAACCTTGTACAAGATGCATCCGATACTGATATTTCAGAAATGAAGGGTTCGGTCACTATGTAATACATATTGGTTAATATAGACCCTATCGTATCGTCTTAAAAAGTTAACAACCTTCTACTCTATAGATACGTTAAAGTGATTAACCACGTAGTTGTTGACTGACAGTTGGTGTTTGTGATTGTAACGTTTCTCTTTTTTTTTTTTTATTTCATCTGTAAAAGGAACCGGGATTCTAGGCCCTCCTCTCCTGTACAGTCGGACACAGAGTTCGAAATGCGAAAGATCACACAAGAAGGGAAAGACATGGAGGACGACAAGGGTCATCAACAAAGCTGGAGATGGGGAGAACTTCCAAGTCCACCACCGGAGTCTGCGCACGCGTCGCACAGAAACTCATTGAATTCATCAGCAGCAACTGCTCAGCCTAACGATCGTTAGTAAAAAAAAGATAAATATATCTAATACGTGGAAGAGACATTCATGTTTAATCCTTTTGCTGTTAGCCAAAGTTGAACTTGAAACTCTCAGAGACGTATTTCGTTTTCCTGTCTATGTATAACATACGTGCACATAATTTCACCTATCGTGCCGAACTATGAAGTTTCGAACCAGCTCCGTCTGTTATCGGTCTCACGTAACACAGCAAAAGGTATTAAAGCATTACATTTAAGAATCCTGAACAATTTTTAACATTCACTGTAAACTTTCTCACATACTCGCTTAATCGTCAATTTCCACTAAACCGCTGGTTAACTTGCTCTTTCAATGGTAGCTGAGGCACATCGCTCAATGCTCAGTGGTATGTTCTCCTTCATGAAGAAGACCTCACGCGTTAGGCACAATCCGGAGTCTGAAGGGATTTACCTGAGTGATCTGAATGCCGACGAATTAGATCCCGAGGTCGCTGCTCTCTACTTCCCATCATCCTACCGTGGACAGTCCGCCGTTAAAGGTATATATTTGGCTTTGGCGTTTTGCTTGTCTACCTAGACATATGCTTCTTTCTTGGACTCTGCGCCGTAGAAGCGTGTTGGCTTACTATACACGGCCAGGCGTATTCCTTAAAAAAGAAAAAAAAGTGCTCGCTACATCTCCGGTCCTCTTCCTCATCCACAATTCTTATCAGCCATTCTATCACTCTGATCGTCCATGTCGCATTATCAATAGTCAACGCAAAACTCTTTGCTGTCGTTGATAATTCCTTGGAACAGCGAAGGAAGGTCTGCGCGACTTTCTTGATTCCGCGGTTCGACGATCGGGTATACGTCGCGCAATAATATTTCGTAAGGTTCTTTACGTGACACGCTCGATTAAACAATAGAAAATAAAAAAGAATTATTGTCCGACCTTGTCTGTTACCAAGCGACGAAAAGTCGCGTTGAGCAACGGTTCACGCGAGTTATTAAGACGCTTTAATGAAAACGATAAGAGAAGCATCCAAGGTACGTAAAAAACAATTCGATGTTGTGTCCGTTATAGAAGGGAAGAGTTTGGATGAAGAAGATACTGAATCAGGAAATGGACCGAGCTTACCCCAAAGCCCGAACAGCGTGGAGGGTGCTATCGGTGGTCCAAAGTCACTGGACAGTGACTTCGAGGAGCCGAAACACTCTTTGTTCGACAATCACGTCGACATAAGTCTTTCGTTATGCGGCGGATTGGATTCCGAGCATGGACCGTCCGAGGAGGCGTTTCATCAAAATTTACTTCACTTTGAGGACATTTGTACCGAGCCAAAGTTATATGAGAATCCAAATTTGGTGGTGAAAATCAATGGAAAGTTTTATAACTGGGCAACAGCTTGTCCGATCGTCATGACCCTAACTGTATTCCAAAGGCATCTGCCACAAAGTGCCATAAACAATTTGTGTGCTCACTACATGTCCTTGCCAGTTCACGAGGACAAGAAACAGCAAAGCAATGGGAAGGCAGAAGGTGGTCGCAGCGGATACAGCTCCTGGTTCTTGTGGCGGCGATCCACTCAGCCCTCGAAGAAGATCGAAGATGCTGCCCGAGGTACGTAAGAAGATATTAAAAATTATTTATCACGCGTGGAAGTTTTTTAAATTTTATTAATTCCGTTCATTGTCATTTACAGCCGACGAACCCGCGATTGACATTACGGAGGAGATCGTACAGATCAAAGAGATGAACGTCGTTGACACGATACCTGTTGAAACGTGAGTCATCAATAGATCCACTGTTTAATTGATCACGCCATCTTATGCGAACGAGTTCTCAATTCTGTTATCAATTTTTTTACAGACAGCCAAAGCTGAACGAGGAGAACGTGGACGATCGGACCACGTTCGAGGTGGTGCAGGACAGTTTGCCAAGTACTCCAGAGGAAACTATATTAGTGAAAAGCGAAAAGGAACGCGACAGGGAAGGCGAAGGTTATAGCGGTAGCGAAGACTCTGATAGCAATCAGAATGAGCCACAAGGTGTCAAAATACCAATAGAAAGGCGACCTTACTACGAGCCCACTGAGAAGTATCGTAAGACACTTCGGCTCTCGTCGGCTCAAATCGTATGTCTTCGTTTCATTAGATTTTCAAGGTACCCAAGCAAATTAAGATTCACCTCAAGAAATTGGCTTTCTTCTTTTACAGGCTAGTCTCAATCTGAAGGAAGGCGCCAATCAGGTCGTCTTCAGTGTCACTACGGCATATCAAGGCACCACACGCTGCAAGTGCCATATCTATCGATGGCGCTGGGACGACAAGGTCGTCATATCCGATATCGATGGCACCATCACCAAGTCGGATGTCCTTGGTCACATCTTACCGATCGTCGGCAAGGATTGGGCACAGTCTGGAGTTGCTCAGCTCTTCACCAAGATCAAGAACAACGGTTACAAGCTTCTGTATCTGTCTGCGAGAGCCATTGGCCAGGCAAGGGTCACTAGGGAATATTTAAAGAGTATCAAACAGGATGATCTGTCTCTACCGGAAGGACCGTTACTCTTGAATCCCACGAGCTTGATTTCCGCTTTTCATCGTGAGGTCATCGAGAAGAAACCTGAAGAATTTAAAATCTCTTGTCTCAGCGATATTCAAGCACTGTTCCCTGCTGACTCGAAACCGTTCTACGCTGGATATGGAAATCGTATTAATGTACGTAGACTTACAGGATTAAGAAAATTGGCTTTTATCCTGCCGCTCCTAATCCTTCTTACTTGTCATCGTATTTCAGGACGTTTGGGCGTATCGAGCTGTAGGCATTCCCATAATGCGAATCTTCACTATCAATCATCGCGGTGAATTGAAGCACGAGCTCACTCAGACATTCCAATCCTCGTAAGTCCTATCTTTAGTGATATTATATTACATAGACGTTTGTTAGATTGTAGTTTTATTTTTGAAACTTAAGACTTCTGTTTATCTTACCCCTCCGTCGTATATTTTGAGCTTGAACGTATTTCTGTTTTTATTTATTTTTTCTATCTGTGACGTATAGCACAGTATACGAACAATACAGTGTACGCCAAATCGACGCGGTTGGATCTTGCATGAACTGTAATTTTGGTTCTAAATATTAATTTATTGTTTTATTTGTCAACCGTTATTTTTACGATACTCTTTACTCAGTGCCTGTAGTTCTTTTTGTGAGTAATCAGCCGCGATAATTCAAAAGATCAAAGGGGTTTGTATTCAAGAATGGAGTTACGACCGAGTGGACAGCAGTGACTAGAAAAATTAAAGCTTTACCTAGTTTTTTGACGGGTCGGTTATTTCTGTGGTTACAGCTACACGTGTCAGAGCGGTATCGTCAATGAGTTGTTCCCGCCACTGTCAACATCATACGTCTGCTGATTGGCGGCACAACCTGATTCAGTTTACACTGCTTTTTTTTTTTATCGCACGGAATTCAATATTTCGTCCAATTTCATTAATTTCTCTGGTGTTATTATATCGATGCCATTGAGTTTTGCATAGATACCAGTTTTAGACTTCTTCGATCTTAGACAATCGAAAAGATATCCCAATGAGACAGACTTCCGTTTGGCTGTTTGTTCGCACGGTTCTACTCTTTAACGCAATTCCAATAGATAACTTACTACTAGTTGTACAGTGATCATATTTATTTATTTTTTAATTTACTTGTAAGGCTCGCTCACGTAGAATACAAAGTTACAAACAATTATCGAGTTTTGTATCTTGTCAATTATTGTAAATACGTTACATTGTATTTGTGGGAAACAGTTCGATGCGCGTACATCGCTCTGACGTGATACGTTATTTATTTTATTTTCGTGCTATCATTTTTTTTTTATTTGATAACGTCGGTCTGTCTTAAGAGCTTTACTTCCAATGGCTAATCTTATCAAAATTAGCGAGTCTACGCGGTTACCATACTCGTTGATAACTTCCTTTCTCGAATTTTCATTAATTATTGTACACTGATGAGGTATTTGGTTGTGCATCCTACATCCCTACCTATCATCTTATGATTTATAGGGTAAGCACACGACTGTACACAATTGCTTTTGAATGTTTTTTACAACCTTCATGCATTTCTGTAGTATAATTTTTGTCTGTGATTAGTTTTACGTAGAATAGACATTTCTATGCGTGGCATATCTTACGAGATCATTACAGTATTATTAACTCTGCCACAACGTTCTCTATCGACGAACTTCATCGCCATGTTGACTTCGATTGTCCTGATGTCATCATCGATTTCTAATCATCTCTTTTCAATTTCAGTTTCAAGTGGCCTGATATGTTCTGACATTTTTTTTGCTTGCTCTCACTTCGTATTAGCATCGCAATGTCATCTTTAGTATTATACTCAATGCTTATTGATCGATTGCGTCGTTGAATTACCATACGTCACTTCCTGCGAATGATCTTCATTTCTAGATTCACTGTTGACTTTTATCTCAGTGTGGATGAAGCGTTACACAATTATTATTCAATTTTAGCTACCACCTGAACGAAATCATCGTTGACATTTGGCAAAGATCCTCGTGGTCGTATATAATTGTTCACACAGTGAGGGCCTTTCTGTTTCGCAATGGGCCAACTTGCCAAGAGACAGTTGACGAGTTTCTCGTGATAACATCATCGCTAAATGTTGCTGGGAACGAAATATTTCTTTTTTTTCCGGATTTATTATTTGCAGAAAAACGATAATCACGCTGTACGATTGACGTTTGTGATTTATTTGTTTAAATAGTTTGTCGGACATTAGCATAACTTGTTATCGGGTAACGATCGTGCAACAAGATAGCAGCGAGAATTACATGAACATAAGTTAAGAATTTATTGTAAGAATGATCTGGAAGCATTATCTCATATGTCATTAATACGCAAATTTTTATATGATTAACATAATTTCGTTAATTGCTCATTTTAATGATTGTCATGTAATTTTCTTCTGTTTCTTTTCAGGTACTCGAACATGAGCTTCATTGTCGATCATCTGTTTCCGCCTTTGCGAGAAGACGCGGCTGATGAGTTCAGTAACTTTGCATATTGGCGCGAACCGATACAGGATGTTCCGAAGTTATCGGCACTCTCGCTCGAGAGTCAGGGTACTCAGTAATCATAAACGAAATTAAGGAGATGTTTCCCTTTTCGTACCGGAGCAATAATACTTTGCTCACAACGTAATGAGAATGATTGTCCTACTTACGATTAGCTAACTTTTATACTCTATGTTATTGATCGTAGTGATCCTGGCTGGTGAGATGCTCCCCAATGTACTTTATTATTCATTTGTATCTTTTCGCTCTTCTACTTTTGCTCTTCGAACAGATCTTTGTACAGACAGGTACTGCGTACCTTCTCTTCGATGGGAATTGTAACTCAGAGAAAATGTCATTCGACTTACAATACATGTCTGTATGGATGCAGCGAACAGTTTGCAATTGGCAATTATGCTTTTTGTTTTGGTGTTTACGTGAAAGCACATTCCAAGACGGGTGATACGTATTAATTAAATTATTGTCTAGTAGGTTACCGACGCCGGCTGTTCATTTAGATTTTAGTTCCTATTGTCATTGTCACACCAGCCACAGTTCACGATGCGCGCCTAGCAGCTTAATTATAGCCTAGCAATTAGCTGCTCCGAGCCGAATAAAAATTAATCCGCTTATACGCAGAGTATTAAAAAATGTCAGGATGCACACGATCCTTAATGGCAATCAGAATCGACTTGTCTTATCCGTGACAATTAAGATTATAATTTCGTTCAATGACCTGCTTCGAAACTCGCGCGAATATAAGTTGATACAATTTCTATCCCGGTATCGGTATGATCGATCCGGACTCACTGCGTTGAAGATTTATGTAAAATCTTTCATTTAAGATTTACGTCAAGTAGCTATGACAATGTTGTACTGTAACTTGGTTGTCAAAAATCCTATTTAATTTTAGTCACTCTTCTACGCAGTGGGTCTTTGACATTTTGCTTTCGATACACCAAAAGTTTATCACTGTACAATTCTCTCCATTTCCATGTCACTCGAATGCCTGTTTATATTTATTTTTCATTTCTTAAGATCTCTCTGCACTACTTGCCGCGATTATACAAATTGTGCATTATTGTGCTACTTTAATCAATTCAATTGATATTTTCATGTATCATTTGTTAATATCGTCTCTCTTATTCTTAGTCAAATTTGTCAATGTCCTCTAAACAATCGTGCCGACACGTCAATCTTGTCCGAATGTTACAAATGATTGAATATATCTTGTCTTTGTTTTTGTTTTCTTACGATTGATTGTGAAACTACGAAATATCAACTTTGTCCTTCGTTCGATACTCTAGAGCAATTACTTTAAAAAGTTCCTAGATAATCACCGTCGTAGATTGTCACTATTATTGTTTAATTAAACGAAATTCGCGTATCCTCGTTCATATTGCAAAAGTATGGTATTGAGCGTTACTAAAATTTGGAAAATATTAAGAAAAAAAAATTGAGAAACAAATGTCAATTCTGCATCAATCAATGTTATATAATGATGCAGGGATGACACGAGCCAAATAGGGCTGAGGAGAGTATTCCCATTGTGGACGAATTTCTTTCTGATAAATTTCATATCAATTTATATCACATTTCACGAGCAATGTGATTCTTCGATCGGGACATAGGCACAACGAAACTTTCCTCAGCGAACAAGGAAGAAAAAGTAGAAAGGAGGACAGAGAGATACAAAAAAATAAATTCGTTGGACAAGTTAATTATAGCAAAGCTATTTTTTTAATTCGCCTAGCTGATATACTTTACTGAATCGATAGAAAGCATAGGAGGCGAAACACACGATAAAGTAGCAATGATAAATATTGAAAACGGTGAAATAAAGAAAAGAAAAGCCAGGGCTACTGTGTTTTTACCAAAGAAAGTTTACGAAAAACGTAACCGAGCTGTGCTTCTCTCGAATCGATCGATTCTTATTTTTATGTGTAAAAGAAAGCTCGAAATAGTTCTATGGCGATTGGTGAGCGCGACTGCTTTATTATTTTCTTTTTTCTTGCGTCACTATCGTTTCGCCTAGTTTTACTTTTTCGAGCAGAATTACGAATCGCGGATTAAACGTACTGAACAAAGACGGTTTGATACATTCGTACATAAATTCTCATTGGATTTAGTATACACTAAGTTTATTATTAATTTTGTTGTCGATGTTATTATTATTGCTATTATTATTATTATTATCATATTCTTATTCTTATTATTTTGTAAACCGTGTATATAATACGAACGAGTATGTTGTGTAAAGGAATTTGTGTATAAAAAGAATATATATACAATTTATTTTTTGACAAGACTCTTATCTTTCGTTGGGGCGACGTTGCTCGCGTTATTATTTATTTGCTTGGTTGGGTCGAAGCTTTAATTTCTTCATTGGTTGTGTATTTATTTTACGTTTGTTCTTATCTTAAATACGCACGTAGCCCGCGCGCGTACTTATTTGTACATTGTGTTTCAGTACGTAGACGAGAGAGAACGGAGGAAATATACCTGATACGAGCGTAATATTTATTTGTCGTTGTCATAAATGTTGACGATTAATTGACAGTTGTTGCTTGACGCTTAATATATCATTTAAGAATATACGACTGTAACGGAATCCATATTGCTTATGGTGAACGAAGGTGGAGGATGGACGTTAATATTTTTTGTAGAATCTAGAGCTCCAGATAGGATGTTATTTTTTATTTATGTCGTATTAAATTGATATTGCAATATTACTTGTGGTTGCATATCAAATAGTAATTGTGTATCGATTCCTTGTTCCTTGTATGTTCTACAAGCTCTGGATGGTTCGTTGTGTAAGGGTCGGCTATGTTTTTTGCGCAATCACGAGGAGAGATAATGCCAAATGGAATAAATCTGCTTAATAGTTATTAATGATACGATCGTATTTAGACTCGCACATTGCATTTAGGCATACGGATTCTTTTGTTTGTTGCATAATATCAAGAAGACGTGGATCAATCGAAACGAAGTGTGATTAGCTCCCTGATCTCTAAAATCGATGTAATAACTGTATGTCTCTTGTAGTCTTTGCAGATTTTACGTAATAAAGATTAATTAACCGTCTCGTAATTACGAGAATGTTGCGACAGTCATTTGGTATTGTTTTAACGATAGACTGAATTTTGGCAGTGAGTGACATTTTTTTATTCGAAGGATTAATTATTGATCTTGTGGCTTTTACGAATGTGCTTCTTTTTTTTTTTCTTAATTGTACAGTGTTACTGGGCTGATTAGTCGAGGAGAAGGTTTTTTTTATCAGTGTCATTTTTATTTGTAATTGAGACGGAGTGGGAATTCTGGATTCCTTAAGACTCTTCGTGCAACGATGTCTCGCTTGGCCAGCGGGATTTGCACTGAAATAATTGAAATTCCAGGTGAAGTGGATTGGACTGTGGAAGAAGGAATTAGTGAAATTCCGTTGTAAATACTTTGGAGGCCAAGCGACGAGCTTTCTTTCTTGCTGAGTTGTCATTTTCCGACGTATCCCAGGAATCTATGGAAGTCGCGCTTCTTCCGCGCTTTGATTCTGACTCCAATGGTACTTTGCGACATTCCTTTATATACTGACAACATCTGACGTCTCGGAGCCAGTAGTATGTACCCTGGGGGAATAAATATTTTCGACTTTACCGGGAAATTAAATATAATTTAGTTGTTGGTACGGGGATTCGGACTTATTGGTATCATTAAAATATTTGAAAGTATTTTTTGTTTTATATCCGTTTACTTACACACGTTATTCCTATTATCCAAAATAAAGCGAATGCTAATCCTAGAGCCATGGTTGAAATTTTTGAGTTTTAGTGATTTAGAAAGATTTGATGACTGAAAATTTTCTGTTTACTGACGTTTTCTTACTATTGGTTCTGAATATTCAGCTTTTTTTTTACGTTTTCATTTGTTAGTTTTGTGCTGTGCATTTAGTTGCTTTGAATAACATTGAGGAGAAAATACTAAGTGAAGTTGATATCCAGATTCAATGGGGAATATAAATCTAATGCTTGACTGCTGATTTAATTTATATACAATTTTATTAAAAAGATTTAACGGTACATTATATTGTGTTATGTTTCTTCTGTATCTTGGGTTTCCATGTCCTCCGCATCCTCCTTTGTACTATCGCTGGATACTAGATCACTATATCCATGCTTTTTGGAATAGACACCCAACGGTGTTAGTTTGAAGGTAGCTAGAGGCTGGCCAAGAAGTTTCTGCAAGAAATGCGATTGTTTTATAGATCAATAAAACAATCAGAAATATATGGTAAATCAATCGAAGTATCAATGCTTACTAGTATTCTGGCTTGTTCCGGAGTAAGTGTCTGACCCTTTTTGCACACTTCAAAATCTTTAATTAATGTGACTACACCCTTTTGTAAAGCAGTTGGCATTCCTAACTGTCTTAGATGTGGTTCTATACTATGTGGAAAATCAGGCATAGGACCTTCGTGAAGAACAACAGTTTCTGTAGTAATGAAACCAGAACGGGCATATTCTTCTTCTCCATACTCTTCCATCCAACTGAGCACCTAATTAAATTAATTAACTTGAAATGTTGATAACTCATATAGTAAAATATATTTTGTACTATAGTTAGATAATACCTTCTTCTTAGGTCTGTTTGTGAACAATAGTCCGCACTGTCCCCTAAGTGCCTTAGAAAGCTCATGAGAACCATCGGCAGCTTCATCCTCTGGCGATTTTCCCAAAGCCAATCCCATTACTTTATTTTTGCCAAAAAAGAATCTACTATCTTTCCATTCTCCTCTCAAGTTTTTTAATTTGTTGTTGCGCATGTTTTGTACAGAAAATAAGAATATACGACTATACTGATCCACACATTTTCTGATATCCTCAACTATTTGTTGTTTCAGCACCAAACCCTTTTTACTGGTTTTGGTAAGAGATACTGCAAAGAAGTATAAATATAATTAATAACAGACCTGGTAATTGCTGTTTATAGGTTAGCTCAAGATATTTAAAAACACAAATATACACTGTCACGAAAATTTCTACAGAAAAAATTAAACACTCACTTTTCTTATCCCTCTTTGATTTCGGCATTTTCCTACGAAGATCACGTAAAACTTTTCAAATTACTTCTAAATGCCGTACCGTACAGTGACAACCATGTGCTCCACCGCGTTACAAGAAAACAAAGATGGTTCTTTCCGGGCTGCGTTCACATCCACTTTTCAAAACCAATGCTAAAACATACGTACTGCCTACAAAACCGCAAAAATAATAAGGAAAAACAATAAGCTCTTTATAATATTAATTCGTACAGTTTCAATATAAAATCAATATTCAGTACCATTTATCATTGATATACTTATATCAGCATAAGCATACAGTTACCAGTTACGTGTAAAATCCTTCTATAAAATCATTTCGAGCTGAATAAAAGTACAGTGCGATAATTAATAACATAATTTATCTTTCCAAATTCTCATAAATCATTTACCATGCAATCCAAAGACTCAAGTGCCTATTAATACAGCATAGGAAAGAGTCTCGAGAAAATTCGGTAAATTCAAAAGGCCGGAATTGAAAAAGTGAACGCAGACCAAGATGGCATCTTCCGCTGATCGCGGCAGTGCACTCTGTGAGATCGTAGTGGACGGGAGCCGTTGAAATTTGCTGAAGCCTCGATTTTCCAGGCCGCTTTCTGCACTCAAAAGGTGAGTCACTGTTCCAAAAGTATATCAATGCGTTCGTGCGGGTTAGGAAAAATTGTGATAGCCTAAAGAAGCCGCATTTTCCTCAAAATATGCGAAGTGTGCCGAGCCGTGTGAACCCCGTAGTCGACCAGTCCGCCGATCGTACGTCTAAACGCGGCGAAAATCTACGTTAACTTAAAACGAACCGCAAGCACTCGGACTGGTGTAATATATTTATAACATTCTCTGGGCCTGCTGTCAGCCCTTGCGTCTGGTGTTCTGCGAATTTTCATCATCTCAAAATCATTTTTGGCAGCGATCACTTCCCGCAAACCCTCTGAAGTCAGCCGCTTTGCGAATGACGCACGCGACGCGCGAGAGGCGGAGAGGAGTGTCCCGAGAGAACGGGCGCCATGTTGCTGTCTGGCCGGCGAAAAATTTTCAATTTTCTTTCATGAAAATTAACGTGCCAACGTAACTAGACGCGTGACAGTTCTTGGTCATGTTAAAGACGCTCCTGTCACGTACCACCTATGCTAATTATCGCACCACCCTGATGTCAAGTTATCTCATGGCGCATCACCGATTTTTACAAATATTTAGCTCCTTATATGGACAGGAGAAATCGGAGATCGTGCGAACCTTCCCGAATTTTCTTCTACTGCGTAGTCATATCAGATTAATCATTTTGTTTAGAAACTTTAATTAATTAATTATCAAAGTTCAAGAGTACGTACTCAGGCACGCCCTTTGGCAACCAGCATGACCGGCGGGTACAAGTTGGATTGACGTTTCTGTCAACATTTTTAATATTCCTAACGGATATTTGTCGAACTTACATTTATATACGCGATCACGTAATATCTCTGACAGAATTAGTAACCATTAAATGTCCAACATAAATTCTTATTCATTTTCCATGCTGACTCATTTCAAATGAAGAGAAAGATTCTTATAGTAGGGAAAAAATGTCGTTACGAGTAAATTGATCGTCCTCGAGCAATGTACTGCGAGAAAATAAGACATTAAATCGAGTTGGAATCGTATACGTACTACGTATGTACGTAATAGCGGTAATCAGGTGCGAAGATAAGAATGACTTTAATAACAGATTTAAGTATAGCGTAATGTTATGGCAACGGTAGAGATCCTTAGAACTCGTAGTAGCTATGACGACGACGACGACGACGACGACGACGATCATGTTGAAGACGGACTCTGGCGGTTCTAATTTCTCAAGGCCGAGACCCAACCGTTCATGTATCTGCGTAGCAGCCGAAGGCCTTGTCCTGAGACTGCATTCTTCTGTCCCACGCTAATTATGCGATCGCCATTCATTTTTCTTCCTTTACGCACGAGAACATGACCGTACGTAACCCCGACTCTTAAAAAAAGAGCCAGTCAGGAATTCGGCAGGATATCTTTAACCTAACCTAATTTAACTTCATGTTCTACCATAGTGACGGTTATACTAGTCAAACTCTAAGATTGACCAATCGCTATATATATATATAGCTCTCTAAAATCAATTTACCAATATTCAATATCATTACAGTACTAACTTTTCATAATATATGTAATATACATGTAACCGCCGAGTGCTTACAATTTTTAATGAACTACAGAGTGACGCATAAGTGTTAGAACGTGATCGACAGCTCGTGACCATGCGAAAAAGAGGAACGAACCTAAAATGAAATAAAAAATAGTTTAAATCGTTGGAATCCTGTATATATGTGTATGTATATGTATAACGTTATAATTATCACAGGATGAAAGTCCACTGTTACACTTTACATCTGGTGTCTGCAAATTCTCATGGAATCGAATTGTTCACGTCGCGAATTGCGCACGCCGGCCGGGTCTTACGGTTTTACACTCTGTCGGTTCGATCGATGCTGCCGCCAAACGTACATCGAGAGGCCAGACCCACGTCGACGACAGTAGCCGCTTTCTTTCTCATCCCCTTTCGTTCTTTCTTAATTTCCTTGCTTTATCTTTTTTCTTCGTTATTCCCTCTCTCGATGCTCTTAATTTTCGAATTTTTATTCACCTTATCTTTCTTTTGTCTTACTTATGCCGCTCTCATGTCCTTATTCGTGACTTCAGACTTTTTTAGGTTAAAGTCCTAAATACAAAAACCCCGAAGGACACTACTTACATATAATTACTCACTTTCCGGATATCGCTTATGTACCTCGTGGATACCGTGACGTGAATTTATTTTTGTGTTATCAACAGCCAATCCTATTCCTTATCAACGAACTGTTTCACGATATTTTATTGTAATGCTACGGCGTCCGTTTAACGAATTTTTATTTCCTACCTTTTTTAAAAAAAATTTCCGTTAACGTGCTTATCTTGGACAGTCGACGTTTTAATTAAGGCAGTATATTCATTAACGACGACGCGGATTTAATTGTGGTTGGAAATTCTTTTGTATATACGGCAGCCATATTGACTTTCTTAACTTCGAGCGATTTTTGACTTCGGCAGTTATAATGTACAAAATGGCGATTGTACACGAGTGTCAATCGTCCTTCGGTGATTATGAAATTCCGAAATGTTGAAGAGATACTTGCACACGCGTGTTCGTTTTAATTAACTGGGAGAATTCTGTGATGGAAAATGGCGGCATTCTCGAACAGTTCGCCGTCGCTTCTCTTTGTCCTTGACGCGGCCACAACCGAACGAAACAAAAGGAGTCGCTATCAAGGCGCTTCCTATAAGTCTGACTTGAGGAATATGCTGCCAGAGGAGTAAGTCCTGTTTTCAACGAGAGAATCATGAGTGCGTTCAATTTCACGTATATTTAACTGCGCGGGACTACGTCACTGTGTGGATAAATTTTTTTTCTTCTCTTTAACTAAATTCCATAAATCACTCGGGCGTCTCTCGTGCGAATAACTCGTCGCTTTTCGATTGAGCGATTCTCACGAATATCCGTGTATTATCCCTCAGACTTTTCTTTTTATTCAATCCTTTCCTTTTTTTTTACCTACCGTTTATTCAACTTCCATTTAACGCGCTGCTACGTCGCTCGCACGACTAAACGCGACCCAATTTTTCAACTCCGGTATCCTCGCAGTGCCATTACCTGCATTCGTGTTCGGCAAAGAGATGATTTTTGCCTAGACCATTGACGGGAATTATCATACCCCTTATGCACCCAGAGAACCTTGAAATTGGATGAGTGAAGGGTACCTGGGACAAATAGGTTATCTAAATTACCGAAACAGTTCTATAAGAGCTGTACGTTTTTACAGATTATGAAGGACAGTGATAAGAACAAGATGGCGTCTTTTTTTCCGAAGTACATAAATCTAGGTCAAACGTCTTTGAGGTAATCTGCCGTTTTTTTTTTTCTTGCTATCAACGCCAGGCCCTAATTGCTCCTCGCGGTGGCAACGAGTGAGAGAGAGTAGGAAAAATAGGTATTAAGGATTGTTCATGGGGGATTTTCAAAAGCTGCGCGGCGCCTCGGCGTAAACACATTAGGCCCGCTGATTGCAAATTCATGAAACTTCGCAGAGATGAGAAACCTTCTTAATTGCTGCTGAACTCCATTTCGTCGTTAAGAACTTGTTTGAGCTGATGAGCCTTTTAATAAGACTCATTTTCATTGTCAGATATCTCCCCTACCCCATTTCCCCCTCAAATAACAAAATCTACCAAAATATAACGGGATGACGTATTTTTCGTTTTTCGTTTTCTCGCACCACTTCGAAATCTCAGAATTCCTACTGCTCGTTCAGGCTGATCTTGCATCGTGTAAGTTGGGCTCGTTAATCTTGATTGCGAATTAGTCGCGTTTATTAGCGTTCGTAAGTCAGTGACTGTTAGGGGGGAAAAAATACAAATTGAGATTCATTGTACGACGTGATTTTTCGAATCACGGAAAGATTTTTTATCGTTCAGGTCGAAATGCTCGAATCTGCCGTGGTAGAGAGTCTCGACGTATCGAGTTCCCCGGCAGAGGGGAGGATCCGCCGACGGAGACGTCTCCACGGACTGGCAGAGGTCCAGGTGAGATACCGGCGCCCCGCTGGAGAGGGTCAAAGAGCTGTAGAGCGGGTGGAGATAGAGTTTGGGTACGGCTAAGGACAGAGGGGAATCCCCGTAGCCTGAGTTAACTGAGGTACCCGACGGCCCTGGGGAGGCGACCGGCGGAGGATCTCCAACAGTCACGTACCGATTCGTTAAGGAACGCTCTCGATTTAGTTCATACGGACGACACCAGGGAATGAATCAGTGTTATTGGCTACAAGGATCTCGACCAATCAGAACGTTTAATTCTCGAATTTGACTATTGCCACTAGATCCCTTCAAAACAGTCTGTCTTGAGACAGCAGATCGGGCTGTCTCGAGCTCTCGAGTCTATTTGTTTATAATTTTTCTACCTGCGTTTCCTATACCGCATAGAAAGTTCTCTCTCGCGTGGTTCTCCCCAATATCCCGAAAATCCAATAGATTTTCTGCGCGCTTCGTAAGTGCAAAGTTGCCCTATAGTGCCGGTGCCCACCCGAGTGTCCT